TCTCCTCATGTCCTGCTTCCTTGCAGATGTGTTTATTTGCCACACTTATTTTACTCTCCATTCGTATTTGTGTACTCCGGTGATTTAGATATGTCCAGTTTCCAGTTGGTGATTTACATAAAATAGCGTATCTCTTTAATGACTCACTTTCCATCTGTTGTTTGACTCAAAGCTCTTTGTTTTCAGAACCTCCAGTCACCATCACCAAGCTGCTGGATGATGTTCACACAGTGGTGGGTGAGAGGGTGGAGTTTGAAGTGGAAGTGTCTGAGGAAGGCGCTAACGTCATATGGTGAGCTAATTTACCCTTCGGTTCGTTTTGAGTTTGAAATTCATCAATGTGCTACTCAGCTAATAAAACTCTCTGTATAACGGGATAAACAGTCCAATGAGACAATATGTTTCAGGCCTCATAAAGCAATGCTGACGCAGCTCACATAGTGAATTTTTTTTAATTTTTACAAGCTAACATAAAAGATACTGGCTAATAGTGTGTAACTGAGATTTCTGCATAAGGACACTCCAACAGAGTCATGGCAAAAGGACAGATGTCAGTTCCTAAGACTTTACATTTTAAAATTAAATACCGTAAATACAGCGTGATATGAACAACAGCACATGACATATTACAACATATTATGATCTATTTCTTAAGAACTAAAATGCAAAATCCAAAATGCATTGTGTGAAAAGCAAAGTACCCACTGATTCAATTCCTCTTAGGGCGAATGTTTGCAGCAGTAACTTGAAGTAGTTGTTTTCTGTACGACTTTATCAGGCTTTCACATCACAGAGTTTTGGCTCACTTTACAATGTTACTTGAGCTCATTGAGGTTCATTGAGTTCATTGACGCCACAACGTTTCAATCAGGTTTTCTGTCTTCTGTCCTGTCTTAGTTTTTCAAGTATTGTTTCTGCAGGTCTGCTTAAGTTTGATTAAATAAATGATGACAAAGTGTCATGTGTTGCTGTTGTACTGAGGTTGTATTTATATAGTTATATCATTTATATAGTTTATTTATTTATATAGCACATTTAATTACAACAGGAACGTTGACCAAACCCATATGGAAAAGAAATAGTAAAAACATATATGATTTACTCATGAAAGTGGCCACTTTCTCATTACTTTCATATTTTTTTTAGTAAGTATATAAAACATACAAGTTTCATTATATAATTTTTCAAGGGATCTTATATGTGTATGAAACTTGTATGCTTTTCATACAAGTTTCATACAAGATAGATAAAAACTTTATAAGATTTATATACATCTTTTCCATATGGGAAGTGCTGTAGAAGAATACAAAATACCTAGTAAAATAACTTATAATATTGATAGCAAACATCAAATATGAATTGTCAAATAACTCCCATATTGTATTAAAAGCCAGTAAATACAAATGTGTTTTAAGATAAGATTTAAAAAGATTGGCAGTACGAGCCACTATTTACCAAAGGCAATGGTGGAGATTGATCTGTTCTGTCACTTCAGTACTGTAATGGTTTATTATTCCAAGATGGTGTGATGAAAAGCTTTAAAATAAAGATTTATTGGTGCAAAAGGTGTAATGAATAACAAACCCCCCCCCAAAACCATTATTAGTAAGCATCAATCAATAAGCTCAACCAAATTGTTATATGAAACATTGCTATTAGCTAAACATTTTGCAATTGCCTCTAATATCATTGTCTAATAATCTTCTCCACAAAA